ATATTTTCTTCAAGAGCGAATATTCGATATTCGTTCATTCGAAAATTTTTTCGAATGTTTCAACTATAATGTCAATCATGCAACAATAATTGCAACACAGTGATATTAATAGGCACAAAGAACATACATCACAATTATAATTCGGAAAAAAAAGTTTTGAGTAAAAAGAATAGGGGTATCATAATTCTACACCGACGTATGGATTTTTTGGACCTAGAACAAGAGAAAGAAACTTAGGGTTCTGTCTAGTTTTTAAAGCTAAAAAGAGGATACAAGAGAAGGATAACCATGATCTTGATGAGATGAATGTGGTAAGAGAAGTGTGATGCATCGTCCAAAAATACTTATGAATTTCAAATTCTCATAAAGACTAAGAGACCAAAAAGAGGATCTAGTGCCTAATAGCTAATTATCGTCTACCATTTCAAAAGGGTAATTCCCCCCAAAGTTCCTATGCAAATCCCCGAGAAACCCTGCGCTTCCTTCTCCTCTTGTTTACCCACTTCTTGCTTTCATTTTTCCAATTCATTCCTTACGTTCATTCACTTACGTATGTACGTACATACATACGTGTTGAACCTTAGTTTCAGAGAGAGAACGTCTGGTTGTTGTACAAACAACAGAATACACTTTATGTTTGAACAACGACGCCAAACGGGCCAAATTTCTGCATGGGAAAAAACGACTCGATGTTCAATACCTTTTCTTCAGGAAGGATGTCAGCGATTGGTTTCAATGTGTTGGCATAGTCGAAAACTAATACGATCATTCGTCGAACATTTTCAGAGATTGTTGCAAGGCTTCCTGGACCATTTGAACCGTCGAATGAAAGCTGAAGATTACAAGAATAAAGAAAAAACCACCCTACTAACTGTAACACCGAAGCATATGTGACAAGTGATGCAAGATACAGAGATGACAACGCTCACCTGAGATCTGGGAGTAATGAGCGAGGGACGGTGAACGCAGTCCAGAAGCGTAGGTCGAGCCATAGGCGAGACTGGAGCCACATCTCGCAGTTGAAGGCAGATCTGCTCAATTTCACGAAGGGTCGTAAGGATTTCGTCGCAAGGCGTGGGACGAATATCCACGGCTGGGGCAGACTCTGCTCTAGATGAGGGGGAGGTGGGATTGTCGTCTGAGTCATCCTGAGAAGGCTGAGATTTTTTAAAGTGAATTTGGAATTCTGACAGTTTTTCAGACGTACCCTTTTATTAACGCAGGGTAAATCACCAAGCATAGATGCACTGGACAGCTTTTTAACCACAGCCGGGTCGAGGCCGTTTATTAGATGACTGCCGTTTCTTCTCGGATTCTTCTGTCGGCCCGTTTTGTCCCGATCGGGTCTGATTGCTGAAGAAAGCACAAGTAACGTCCTTTTGAATTCAATCTTTTCCCTTTTGTGCCGTCTTTGCTAACAAATGTGTTTGAAATTTGCGTGCTATCTTTGCAACTACGCCCCTTTGCGTATTGTCGTTATCACTAATTATCTGACCCTCAAGAGTTGAACCTGCTTGAACTCTATCACAGTTCAATTAAAGATTAGGAGAGCGCTAATGATCGTATGACTATAGCGAAGCTGTGACTACGAGATATTATTTATTCTATCTCCAATATAAAAAAGAACAACACCTACCATCTGGTTCCATTCCCACGTCGAGACATTTTTGAAATCTGCACGAACGGCAAACGTTTCGTCCAGCTGTAATGTGCATCGTAAATGTATGGTGTTTTGACGCTTGTGTCCCTTTTCTGTGCGTGTCGACAGACAGAGAGTGAGTGAGTCACAAATGGTTGTTTTTCTCAGCCATAGCTTCGGGATGCGAACCATGAACGCTGGGTACGTATGTTAAGGGATCAGTGAACGAAGAAGGAATATGGCAAGAGACAGCGTCGAAAAAGCAGGAGGAATTTGCTAATCAACGATCAAAATGGCAACTTGTTTTTTTTAAGATGTAGAAAGTAGATAGAAGACCAAG